GAACATATGTGTGTGTGTGTGTGTGTGTGTGTGTGTGTGTGTGTGTGTGTGTGTGTTAGTTAAGGAGTTGGGGGAGGAAATAGAATTCCCTGCCGGAGACCTGGGATAATCCAAGCTCAGACTCTTGTTGATCAGAGAGTCTAAAAGCAACTCCGAAACCTCACCAAGGAAAGAAAAGTAATAAACTCTGGAAGAAACTCTTTGTACGTCTGGTTACCTTGACTCTGAATCTACTGAAAACTGCAGGGACTAAGGAAACTTGTAAATGCAACTTCTCCTTATGATATCAGGATGATGAGTACATTTTTCTCACTCTTTAAATTTTAAACATGCATGCATTCTTAGGTGTTGCATTTTTTTTTGAGCTGGTATTAAAAATACATATGTTCTTTCACATTAAAGTGAGAACAGAGCCTTGTGTGTTGTATTATTAATCACGTTCTGGAAATGAAATTCTGGTCAGCCTCTGCAGAAGAAGTGTGCATGCGTGTGAGCGCTCACACACACACAAACACAGAGGCATGTACACATCTATAAGCAAGGGATTTTCCACTTGTGTCCTGGCCCTGTGGTGTGATGCTGGTGCCTCTGACTCAGTGGGTACTTACTCTTCAGGTCTAAATTCCTGGCTCCTGCGGTGATCTGGGTTGTGATTTTTGTGTCAATCTTTACAGTGTGGAGATTGCTGGTGTCCCTTGATATCATCACGTTGTGCCACTGATTGTCATTGAGTGGTTTATTAGAACTCCCTTTGATGAGGTTAGCACCATTTCCCAAATCAAACACATAATGTAAGTACCTGAGGAGAAAATGAAAGAGAGGAAAGTGTCATAATGTTTTGATGGAGTCAAGCCGCATGTTTGGTGGGGCCGTGGTGGGGGGATTCTTGGGATCAAACTCACAGCCTCTTGCCTGTCAGGCAAGCACTCTACCACTAAGCCACATCCCCAGCCCCAAGTCATGTATTACAAATGGTGATTTGAGTCTTTTACAGGTGGCTCCACCCTTGCTAGAAGTCCTGAGCATGAGTTTTGTGAGGCTGATCAGAGGGGAAGAAACTACTCCATTTCAGCAGAAGGGAGGATCATTCAATATGCCTTCCACATTCCCAACTCTCTCTCCATTATCTGCTCACCACACTGAATGGTGGTTCTCAGTTTCTTACACCTCCTTTCTAGAATCCCTGTTTTTATATTGGAAATGAAATGTTCTGGAACTTTATATATTTGGCCTATTGTAAATATGCAATAACAACCACTAAATGGGTGAATGATAAATGTCCAAATAAATAAAGTCATCAATTTTTCATCCTACTTCCAAAGAAATTTTATTAAAAAAAAATCCTTTCTAAATTATTCAACTCTGACATGAAATTAAATTAAGTGAGATTTAGTAAAATTTAAGTAATCTGAATACTTGAATCAGCAGAGATTGTCCTATAGTCTTGTATAAATTCTTTTGCAGAATATGTTTTGCATAATGAGGAAATACACAGTGAAAGTGTGATTTTTATAGAAGGCCTAATAAATTAGAACTTGATGTTATCTGGACTTCATCTGTGGAGATGTCTATATAAAGAACTGTACTGAATCCATTTTTATTGAATTCCTCATTTATGAGGTCCCTGTTCCTATTTACCACCTTATATGCCAGCACATTGTTTCACATGTATTTTTTGAACTAGAGGTCCGCTTGTCTGAAGTTTTATTTATTTGTCATTGAGCCAACATACACTTACCCTTTAACTAATTCAACTACGATAAAGTCATTTCCATCCCCACTGTTATATAGAATTAGCCCATCAAGGGATGTAGTCTTGAACTGGAAGAAAAGATGCATAGAAGTGTAGGCCTGCAGGGTAGCTAAGGCAACGTAGCTCGATTTGGTCTTGAATGTGACAGGGTCTGCTATGATGTTCCTGAAGCCAAATCTGGCATTGAGCTCACAATAATCGATGTCACCATTTTTACACAAGTCAATGTATGCCATTCCATTAAATGTCAGGCTCTGCAGGTGTCCAATGAAGTTGGAGGGGACAGAAGAAAGATACCGACGTTCTGTGATGATGCCAGTCTCTATGTTATGGAACTCCAGCCTTGTATGGTCACCTGCCATTTGACCTAAAGTAAAAGATAGCAAATTATTATCATTTTCTGTATCTGCAAGTTACTTTCAAATGTAGACTTCCATAGCAATATCACATTTTAAAATATAAGAATCCCACATCATCCTTGATAGCTACATATATATAGTGAGTACGCATAGTTGATGTGTACACAGGTTATGGGCTAAGGCTGGCTTTTGTAACAAAATGTTCTTGGGTCAGGTTTGAATCCTTGTTCAAATTTTAGTCTTTTCAAAAATCATTCTCAATAAAAATGTTACAGAATTTCTGGAAAATGAGAGAAAGAGAGAAAGAAAAAGAGAAATAGATAGATAGATAGATAGATAGATAGATAGATAGATAGATAGATAGATAGATAGATGAAGGATGGAAGGAAGGAAGGAAGGAAGGAAGGAAGGAAACAAGAGAGGAGAAGACATGAATAAGAGGAGAGGAAAGAGAAAGCAAAGGTGAAAGGCAAACAGGGAAAAAGGAATCAAGGATGATGACTGTCCTAAATCATCCCAGTAGAAATTGCTACATCACAGCTTTAAGTGATATTTTTCTTTATATTCTTCCCAGAAAAACACATAATTCTCTATGTTCCTATACTAATAGAAAGAGTGAAGAGTTACTGACTCTTTTTCCAATAGTGGACCATAAAAATAGGTTTAAGTTAAATATATTCTTTTCACTCTTCCTTTCCTGTGACAAGTATGCTGACAGTCTTTCTTTGAGGAAGGGTTCTCCCAAACACTTCAGAAATCTTTGACTCTCTGGAACAATGCCATTTTCTCTGGCATCATTTTGTTTTGGATAACCACACTGAGCACAATATACTCATTTAAAGCATAAGCAAATCGAGAATACCATTACATTTTGCGACATTACTACAAGGTCCAATCTTGAAACATCCTCGAAGGAAGCTTGACTGGGGATTGACTTAGTGATTCACTAGTCAATGCTGCCCCCATCTTTCTTCATTCCCCCAGATTTCCCAAATTCATCAAAGCCAACTTAGTTCTTGGTACTCTTTACTAGTAGTTCCTTCCTAGCATCCTGTTCTTTTTTATTTTTATTTTATTTTTATTTTTTTGAATTATAGTTGGGCACAATACCTTTATTTATTTATTTTTTTAAAATTTTTATGTGGTGCTGAGGATCGATCCCAGCACCTACTGGGTGCTGGGTGAGCACTCTACCACCTAGCCAAAACCCCAGCCCCTAGCATCATGTTCTTGTCTAATTACACTCTCTGCTGCAAGTCAAAAAGGTCATTTAAATTGCAATCAAGTTCTTCCAGCCAGATTCCTGACTAGCTTCCCTACCCCATTTTGCATAATTGGAAAATTTACTAAGCTTACCCTAGCCTGTCATCCAGGATATTATGAACATAATTAATAGAGCTAGTTGCAGAATCAGCCCTTGATAAAATGGGCTGAACCCCTGGGCTTCATCTCAGGTGTTATGAAAACCGAACAGCCACCTATATGGGCTCTGAAACCAGTGTGACAGACTTCCATGTCATTAAGCAAAACAGTAAAATATTAGGTGGTATCTTAAGGAATTGTCTATATGTGGAATATAAAAGATGTGCCCTTTTCTGTGTAAGAAAAACTGTTTACATATTTAATTGACTTTGTTGATCGTAAACTCATTGCTGTAAAAAAAAAAAAAAAATTCCCTGAATTGTACTTTACCTAACTTTCAAACACTCTTTAGTCATCCTTAATCCTTTCTGATATCACTCCAGGCTTCCTCCCCATGTTCTCTCTTTGGCTATTGGTTTATTCGGATTACCACTCTACACACTTCTTTGTAAAACAAAGGTGTCACTGTAAGTAATCATGTCTTCTCTGCATGCCATGTCTTCTGAGAGTCTATCTGATTGCAAAACACTGTTACAATCCTTGCAATTCTTGCTCTCATATGACATCACCTCTCCTCCTATAGTTCTTCTTATTCAATGACCTTGAAACTGCTCTGCAGGGTTCTCCCCTCCTTGGTAGCAAATAAAATCAAACTTTAATAATTTCCAAATATAAAGCTCCAGGGACACCAGAGGCATTGAATTAATAAGCAATGTAGAATGAATATGAAGAGAATATGAAAAATCATCTGGGTTCGGATATCCCTGGTGTTGATTTTTATCTTTTTTGCTGCTTTAAAATCTGAGTGTTAACTCAGTGGACCCCAGCCCAATCCTGACACTGCCATGCTCCTTCTTAAAGCCTCTATTAGTCAAAAGCCAACAGTAAGAAAATATCCAGGAAAAAAAATTCTAATGCTTAAAACTAAATACCACCCTAAATTGTCAACTTCTTGGCAGCTCTAAAATAGACAGGAACATTTTGTTTAGAAGGACTGAGAAGTTCAGTGACAAAAATAACACTTAATATCTGCTTTCCTTCCTCAAAGGAATAGAATATTTATGCAGAGCATAAATAATAAAAAGGTAGTAAAATAATATTGAGGCAACAATGGCCAAGTCACAACACAAAAACAGCATGGTCTATGCTCAAAAGCCCACTTTCACTATATTAAGCATATATAACCACACAGACATTTATGGCAGAAAAGCCTTATTCATGGGGGGGGGGAATTAACTCCTAGAAAACATCGACCATTACCTTTCTTTCTTGTATTTTTAACTGTGAATTGAGCCCAGAGGTGCTTAACCACTGAGCCATATCTCTAGCCTTTTCTATTTTTATTTTGAGAAAGGGTCTTACTAAGTTGCTTAAAACATTTCTAAGTTGCTGAGGCTGACTTTGAACTTGCAATCCTCCTGCCTCAGCTTCCTGAGTCGCTGGGATTACAGGTGTGTGCCTCCATGCCTGGCTTAAACATTGCCTTTTAAAAAGTTACTTTCTGGGCTGGAAATATAGCTCAATTATAGTGTGCTTCCCTAGTATGTGTGAGGCCTGAGGTCCCATCCTATCAACAACAACAAAGAGTGAACCTATAGTTTACTCCTGAGTTTAGTCTTCATCAGTAATGCTATTACCTCTACTGTTGTATATGTAATGTACGTCATGTGAATAAGAAAAAGTAAAAAGCTTTAAAGGAGGAAAATTTTACGAAGAAAGATTTTTATGGTTCTAACCATTTAAAAATGCACTGTCATTTCTAGAGATTGAGTGGGCAAGAGAATTTAGAAGTCTTAATATTCCTCCAATCATGGTGTCTGGGACATACCAGATTCACAGTAACCTCCAATGAGAAAAACCACCTATGAGCTGGGTATGGTGGCACACACCTGTCATCCCAGATACCCGGAGGTTGAGTCAGGAAAATAGGAAGCTGGAGGAAGGTCTCAGTAACTTAGTGAGAGACCCTGCCTCAAAATTAAAAAGAAAAATACATAAAAATAAAATTAAGGATGTAGCTCAGTGGCAGAGCACCCATGTGTTCAATCCCCAGTATTGCAAAGGAAAAAAAAAAAACACGATTATGTTTTCTGAATGGTGTGTTTGCATAAAAAGGACAATATCTAAATCAAAATAGATGACAAGATTAATTATTTCAGGTTCAGCCTTGCTCTGAATTAGATTAAATTTCTGATATGGAACAAAATAGCCCCTAAGCCTTAAATCTACTGGTTAATTCATTTAAAGTCATTGCAGGTGCAGTCTATATGCCAGGTGCTGTGCTAGGAAATGAGGAAACAGAAAGGAGGGCAGCAGACACTGCCCTGTGTTCACACAACTCACAGTCCACTGGGGGAAAGGCAGACAAAAAGAGGAGAGCACATAAATAAATAAATACTGACACTCAGAAAATGCCATGAATCTGATGATCCAGGTGGGTCAGTGTCAGAGGAATTGGAGCAGGTGTCTGAGATCATATTTAAATAAGATCTGAAGGATTAAGAAGCAGCAGCCAGGCTAAAAACTGGGGAAGGGATGGGAAGAAGTGGATTCTAGGGAGAGGAGACAGCTGAACAAAGACTTTGGGAGGAGCCAGAGAGTCCTGAGCCCAGAGATTAGTGGCTCACATGAGATGGAAAGGAGGCCCAGGGCCGATCTCTCACTTCACTCTGTGTGTGTGTGTGTGTATGTGTGTGTGTGTGTGTGTGTGTGCATGCCCTTTTGTGAGTACAATAGGTTACAATGAAGTAATTGTAACAGGACATGGACAAAATAAGATAATTTTTGTTGATATAAGCTGTAGGATTTACTAATAATGTGCAGGATGGTGGGGAGGCAGTAAACCTTGGTTCCTGGCTCTCAGGCTTGAGTGACTGGATGTATGGTTCACTCTACTCAGTGAGGACACATACCAGCCCAGACACACACGATTCCAGAACTTTTGAACAAAGCAAGGAGTTGAAAACCAAGTCCTCTCCATGTAAGGATCCAATGTATTTTGTACAGTCCTTTCCCATGTGAGACCCTCCTTGGGCTTCTCTGCTAGTTACTCTTGACCTTGCCACCCTGGGTGAAATGTTAGAGTCTGTAAACAAGTCAGGATGGCGCCTGGCATTTTGCCAGGGGGAGTGGTTTGTGAAGTAACACCAGCCAGCCATTAAGTGTGGAGATTCCTTATTGGTTGACTGCTGTATCTAGTTTATATTAATTAAGATAAGCTGTGTGGAATGGATATATACCCCTCCTGTCACCTACAATAAACAGCTCCCTCCTGCTGTATCGATCTACACAAGTTGCTCATCATCCCCCCGGTTATTTTGCTGCAGCCGGACGGCAGGACTGCAGCAAAAGCCCATTTGCTTTCACAATTCAGGGCAGCTTTGAATGGTCACGATGGTATTTGAAAAATGTCTCATTCTAAATGTAAGCCCCAATAGCAAGTTTCCCCTTGCTACTTTTGGAAACCATTTTTATTGTACATAAATCGAGGTGAGCTTTTATTATCATGAATTGTATCCTTCATGAGATCTTTAACAAAAAATGAAGGTATGAAGGATGGAATGGAAGGAGGAAATGAATTAAATGACTAACCCAAGTTATTGATAAACTCAGCATGTGAATATATATGTTGAGTTGTAGGCAGGGAAGAATGGGAAGAAGAATCACGAATGAACATTGAATTACTTTTAGTTCATTTATTGGGTTATATTGGTATGGGCAAAGCAATTCTGAAATGATTTCAGATGCATTGTAAGAATGAGCAAATAAATAAATGAGATCTCTAGGAGTCAAGATTCTTAACTTGGCAAAAAAGATGGAAATACAGAATGTGGGAAACGAACAAAAAAATGCTTCAAGTATGAAGGTACCAGTTTTCATGTTTTCAAATTATGTGTATGCGCATATTTAAGCACTCATGTAATTTAGATGCACGTGTGTGTATTTATATGAATGTGTAGGTGAACGTATATCCCTATTTGTGCTGATGAAATAGTCAAGAAGCAGACCCCAGCAGTGTTGGGTACACCTTTCTGCCCAGACCTTTTCCTCTCTAGGAAACTAAATGGTTAATTCCAAGAGGGGAGTATGATAAATAAAAGTCATACCCCAAACTTCATGTCATGCCAGAAAGTAAGAAAGAACTAAAATAAAATTGAAGTTGGGGCATATCAAAGGATGGTAGCTATCAACTTGCCAGGACTCACTAGCTAAAACAGAGAAAATGTGAGCACCAAAAAAAATTAAGAGTAATTATAAATTGTTGGAAAAATGTAGAATCTGGTGGTCCCACAATAAAGAAGGGAGGAAAGAGGGAGGGAAGAAGGGGCAAGGAAAAATCAAAGAGACAAAGAAAGAAGAAAGAGATAAAGGATGGTTGTGGATCACAGGAGAAAATAAGTGCTGGCTGTAAATGTGGAAGGGTGCTGGAATTTGAAAAAAAAATCATTTTGTAACTACTGTGGTGAAGACTGAATTAGGAAAAGATCTTTGATAAATGTAAAACCCTGGGAAAATTTTTGATAAAGTGGAAAGCTGTGGGTTTGGTCTTATTGTCTCTCCACAGTTTATTATTACCAGGGAGAAAACATAATAATTATACAGTGAAAACTGAATGACACATAGACCTACTCATCAAATTTAACCACCAACAGGGACATGGATGGCATGTACCTCCCTGTATGCACTCCAGATAGGATCCTGTAAGGTCACAACACTGACAATGTGGTATTTCATTGAGAAATGTTAAACCTGAATTTAATCACGAAGAAACATCAGATAAGCACAAACTGAGTGACTTTACATTCATACGAGGTAGGAGAGAAATCACATATTTTAAAAATATCAATGTCATAAAAGACAAAGAGTGTTTATGGAAATGTAGATTAAAGAAGACTAAGGAGACAGGACAACAAAGTGATCAGACTCTATGGGGCTTATTGTGCTGGAGGGAAAAATATGTATATAAACAACATTGAGTGAACTAAGAAAACTGCATTATGGAGGACAGGAGAGATAAAACACATTGCATCAACACAAAATTTACTGAGGTTGGTAACTTTTACTTTGTTAGGTAAAGGGAGTTCAGATCTGTAGAAAACACATGCTGAAGTATTTTGGGAGAAGGTGTAATTTGGTCATTGTTTATAAACAATGACCCCTTTCCCTCAAGGAGTCGAGTTCCACATTTAGGGTGCACTGTCTGAAGCATGGGAACCCTCTGGGGTTTAATCTAGCAAAGACCTGTCCCTACTGCCCAAGAACCTTCTTGTGCTTAAACTCAAGTAATTAATGAGGAGATGTGATCTACAGAAGGGGCTAATATCCCCATGGGTCACATGCTTGGATTGACTTTCAGAGAAAATAAAAGTATGCTGATTCCTCTATCACGTGGCTTCTTGAGGTCTCCAGTGGACTGCTCCCCTCAGTCAAGATTCTACAACTTGGGGATAGAACTTGACATCCTTGATATTAGAGTTTAATCTCCTTAGCTAAATAACCCAAAATGATTTATTATAGCCTAAAGCGAAAAGGGAAGTTCACCTGTCAGAAGGCTTGTCCATCCATCTATTTACTTAGAAGCTAAAAAAAAAAAAGCAGAACTTGCTTCTGTACGTCCCCCAAATATAAAAGAAACTAAGAAACTGAACAGAAATCAGCATCCAAGTGGTGACTTCAATGTTTTATGAGGCACTAAGATATTTGTCAAGCCTAGAGATTAAACTGTGCCATAATTTCTTCTTGAATTATTAAAGGACAAAGAAGATGACGTCAAAAGTGCTGTTCATTTGGGAGCAAATACCTAACAGACTGCTTATTGAAACAAATCGTTACTAGAAAATCTGGAGTTCAAAAAGGTCTGGATGCCTAAGCTGCACGTTGTGCTGGAGGCTTGGTTTGAAAACACACAGCCAGGAAATGAGAAAGTCCGAAGCTTTATTAGAAGAAAAGGCAATGGGGTCGAGGGCATTTACCTGTCATGGCCTGTTGATCATCCACCGTTAACTTCAAACTTTTTCCTCGGCGAACCACACGCACAGTGTGCCACTCATTATCATTGAGGTTATAGCCAGCAAAAAGGGTCTCGGGACCTTTGCCTGTAGAATATGCCAAACAGTCATTATGGACACTCAGAATTAGTCAAGCCTCACAGAGAGTGAGAGAAAGAGACAAAGAAAAGGGGGGAGTCAGAGAGAGAGAGGAGAGAGAGAAGGAGAGAAAGAAATGAGAGAGAGGAGGAAGACAAAGGAGAGAGAAGAAAAACTGGTGGACCAATTTTTCAAGCCCATTAGAGTCATAGCAAGCAAGGAAAATGACAAGTTAACAAACATTCAAATGTGACGATTAGAATCTTTAACCTTATGCATTGATTTAAGGCAAGTGAATTAACCTGTTGTCATAAATAGGCACAGTCAATATAGCATTGGGAAGCCTCCCAATTCATACACATACATTTTAAAGGATTTTGCAGTTATCACTTAATTGCTAATAGAGCAGTGACGATCATGCCATGTGTGAGACACCTGACCACAGGCCATTAGTTTCCAGCTGAATGGATAACTGGCTGATTAGACTACATCATGAAGGCTCCAGGGATTGCGCTTGTGTGATGGCTGATCTTGGGCTCTTACATCATATGCTTACAATAATCACCAAGTTCCTCAGTTCATCAGCCCCCTAATTTATGGACTCTTCTGTTGAAAAACTAAGTCTAAAAAACTCCTTACTACCAAGTGATCCATGCATTGCAAATCTGTATGGTGGAGGCCCTTCTGTACATCTAGGAAAACATACTGATGTACCAGAGGTGGACAAAACTAATAAATGAGATATAGCCATAAAGGGTAAGGATTGAGTTGGTAGGAGAGAAAGTGGTGTTAGCCAACAGTGGAGGAAAGGGATTTCCAGCTAACGCCCAAAATAAAGAGGGCAAGCAGTGCAGCCAACTGAGAAAGAAACTTCCAGCAAATGTACAAAACCCTATGCAAATAGAATTTAGGTAGACTCAGGACAGACACATCACTTTAGAAAGGTATTTAGTTCAAATTACTGAGATGACCGAGTTAAACTCTCTCTTCAATGTAAAAACAAAGCAAGAAAATGTTTTTTAATATAAAGGGAAATTATGTTAGAAATAAGTATTTCTAGTAATCCAACATTATGATTCATTTAGAAAAATATAAAGTTAAATATACATAATTTCCTGATGGATTACTCTCCCCCCCCCTTTTTTTAAAATACTAAATCTCATGGGCACAATAAATTAAGGAAGGACATAATATTGTTGAATTTCATGACTTCCCTGACTGTGGATCAGAATTAGGGTTCACAATTTTTTTAACCGAATTCTGCCAACAAAACCAATTTACATATGTCCTTCAAGCATCTAAAGATGGATGCTTGAAGGACATATGTAAAGATATAGACCAGGGAGGAGAAAGAAAAAAAGAAGAAGAAAAAAAAAAAGGGAAACAAGAGCAACCTTAGGGGCCCATTCACATGAGATCAATGTTTGCTTTTGGAACTGTGAGATATCCTCCCCGCCCTTGATTCCTCTCTTACGGTGTTACTGATGACATATATAAATTCTTTCCTTCTTGGTAGGTATGTTTCTGGGGCTTAAAATGAGCCAGAGATATTAACTATATTGCAAAGTAAATTGCCTCAACTCTTTAAAGAGTATCAACCATCATTAAAATTAGAAATGGTCTCTTGTGTTTCTTTAGAGAAGTTAAATTATACATCCAGATATGACATGAATAAAAACTTTTCTGGATAGAGCAGTTTTGAGAGATTAATCATTGGATAACGAGAGGAAACCTATTGGCTCAGCAACTGCAAAAATACTGTGGGACCAAATGTTGAAAGCAAGTTCCAGGATCAGAGGAACTCTTTCTAGTTTCAATAAAAAAGAAAGAAATGTTAAATAACTCTGCAGCAGCTTAGCATCCTCTGGGCACTAAGGGTCATCCTTAGTTTTGATCTTTGAAAAGAGATTACATCATTTTAAAGCTATTTTTATAGGGGAGAGATTTTTTTTCCCTTAGAAATATGTACTTTTAAAGCAGCTTCACTTCTGTTCTTTTAATTTGAGATATGGTGTCAAGAAAAAGACGAATAAGGGTGATATCATCGTTTTACCCCATTCTGGGCTTGATCTTGCAGTGAAGTCATAATGCTTCATCTATGAAACAACTATTTCCATAACAACAGGCACAAAATCCAATTAAAAATAACCCTTTGGTTCATAAAAATCTCTGTGGGCCAACTTCAAGCTTTTTTTTCTTGCATTATTAAAAATGTGAACAGATTGATTTTGGAAGACAAGGTTTTTAAAAATGTACTTATTAGTCTCAGTTCAAAACAGTGTTACTCATGTAACATAAAGTGCATTGGAAAGCCCACTGCGCTGGGAGGTAAGAATTGTGGTTGTTAGTTCTTGAGCTCCTACTAACAAAAAATTTGAGGGCTGGTGAGTGTTTATTATATACCAGGCACTTTATCTGTTACCTTATTTCATCTTTACATTATCATTAATTTGCAGATGTGAAATTGAAGGCTTAGAAAACTAAAATAACTTGTCTCAAGGTCACACAGCTGAAAAAAAAGGCTGAGTGTCGTTTCAAGTCTGACCTCTCAAAGTCTGCATCATTCTCCTGCATTGCTCTTCTGCAAGCTATGAGACCCCTTGCTTAACCACTGGACTTCTCAGCTGCCCCATATCGAACTGAAGGAGGTGGGAAAAATGTTCTTTGGGATCCCTTCCAGCTGGCTCTACAGAATGATCACACTGTTAGGAAACCGTACATACACTCTGCATAAGACCTGGCAGAAGAAAATCTTTAAGTAATACAGTGCTCTACCTAGGGATGCTGAAATGGCTGTTACTGGGGACGAGTAGAGAAAAAGAGGCCATCTATTTAGGACCAGTTTGTACTCATAATCACTAATTTTATGAGAACACTCAGCTTCTAGTTATCTCAATATTCCTTAAGAGACAAGATAATCTATCTGATCTCTACAGTTCCTTTAGAATATCTAACTTTCACAGATTTGTACAATATATGGAATTGTGAAAGATGGCATAATTTCTGACTTTTTAAAAAATATCTACTTTTCAATGAGAGTGGGACACAATACCTTTATTTATTTATTTATTTTTGTATGGTGCTGAGGATTGAACTCAGGACCTTGCACGTGCTAAGTTAGCGCTCTACTGCAGAGTCACAACTCCAGCCCTAATTTCTGACATTTTGAGTTGCCAAAATTTTAATGGCAAAGTTATAGTCATTTAAGCTGTCAGTGGTCTGAATTCCTTTGGGAATTTCCTTTTCCTTTGGGGTTATCAAAATATCTCAATTATGCTAACTTCTCCCAGAAATAACATGTGTTATGGACTAAATGTTTGTGCCCCACACTCCAACATTCATATGTTGAATCTCTAACTCTGGAGGTGGTGATGCTAGGAGGAGTGGCCTCTTGGAGGTAATTGGATTTAGATGAGGTCATAATGGCAGATCCCCACGATAGGATGGATGCCCCTCGTAAAACAGGAAGCAAAGATAAGGGAGAAGGCAACCCTCAGGGGCCAGGAAGGAAGCCCTCACCAAAAACTACATCTGCCAGCCTCTGATCTTGGACATGACACCTTTCAGAATTATGGAAAAAAAAAATGTCTGGTCTTTAAGCCCCCCAGTTCGTGGTATTTTACTAGAACAGCCTGAATAAACTAAGACACTGAGCAACATTTTAAAGGCTTTTAAGAAAGTTCAAAGCACAGTTCCTTAAAGACATCATTCCTTTTGTTTAATAAAAATTACAACTTATATGCAATTTTATACTTGATCCTTACTGTAACCTGAGATTTTGAGATCATTCAACCCCATTAAAATATCCTTCTCACAGAAAATGATCCCATGGGTAGGAGAAGAGAGGAGCACTGAGGGCCAAGTGCCCACAGCTAGTCATCACCAGATTGGGCAGCACAAAGCTTACAGGCTAATGCTATTTTAAAGAATTCCAGTACTTCAACAGGCACGAGAGACAAAGAAGTTCACTGAGCCATCTACGACAAGAGATAGTGACCCAAAGAGATTCGATGACATCTCCAGGGTCACAACTATATAATTGAAGAGTCCATGTCTCTGGATTCCCAGTTTAGTTAACTTAAAAAAAATATCTAGTGAGGTGCTAAGCAAGTCAGTGAGACCCTGTCTCTAAATAAAATACAAACAATAACAACAAAAATAGGGCTGGGGGTGTGGCTCAGTGGTCAAGTGTCCCTGAGTTCAATCCCTGGTGCCAAAAAAAAAAAACAAAACCTACCTGTTATATTATGCTGATTTAGAGCGAATGTCCCAAAATCTATGTCAATGATTTGGTCATTAACTGTTATTTGTTTTGCATCAAAGTGAAAACTGAACAAAAAATTAATACAGGTTAGTAAGAATGTTCGTTCTTTTCAACAGAGGTTAATCTAAAACTACAAAATAACTATTTCCTGGTCAGGGATATTCATTGGGTTTACTCATAATTCTGTAGGTAATAATTTATTAATAACACATGGAAGTAGTATTTCAGTTGTTTCCTTAATTCAGTTCAAGTTGACTGTCCTTACACAACCTACCAATGAATTCCAGGTGTCTCTAAGATTTATCTCTAAGAAGCATTGGAATTAACTCCAATTGAGATATAGGACAAATGGAGGAAGAGAGGAAGTATATGTGTGTAGGGGGGAGGAGCTACTTTTCATCTTTATTTGCATATCAGTGCAAATATTAGGTCTTTTTAAAGCATAGTTTCAGAAGAAAGAAAATGGTATGGTATAATTTATAGTTTTTCACTATGGCAAGGGATGACAGAGAAAACTAGATTTTGTCCCTATTTGCTCTCAACTAATTCTGTCACCTTGAACAAATCATTTTTCTTCCCTAGTCCTACTTTTTTTTATACAAGGATGATGGATAAGAGCTTATAAAAATATTTTTCAATGGCCAACTTTAATATTCTGTCATTACTAGACAGATTGGACAGCCTTGAACTATTTCCCCATATTGAGGATACACGAAAAAGGGCAATTTTATAAGTTCTCCAAGTG